GTGAGAAATCTTCTAGTTAGTTAGAGGAAAGGGCGTTCCAGTCATTACGCGTTCCAGTGAATCAAGTGACGAAGGTATAAGACGTTCCAGTTAGTAGGGTGAAAGGGTTATTCCAGTCACTATGAGCGAAGGGGGTAAATATTTTCTGAAGGGAAGAGAGAGAGAGAGAGAGAGAGAGAGAGAGAGAGAGAGAGAGAGAGAGAGACTCAAAGACCAGCATCTCAAAAGAAAAAGAGAGGGAGAGAGAGAGGGCATGGCCGTTTCCAGTCAGTCTGAACGGCTAGTGTCAGATATATGCGAGAGTTGTTGGTGCTGGAAGCTGCCAGACGGAGAGAAAAGAAAGAGAAAGTAAGAAAGAGAAGAGAGATAATATATTACAGGAGTGAGATAAAATATAAAGTTTGAGCTTTAAAGAAAACATAGAGAATCTGTAATACGTAATAATAATAAATAAAAACAAAACAGAGAGAAAGATAATGAGAAAGAGTGACAAATAGAGAGAGAGAGAGAGGGGGGGGGGGGTAGAAATGTCAACTACAATATATATAAATTCCAATCGTATTTATTTGGATTAAATGTCACATGAAAATAAAATGCAAATTTTTGAAATGTTATTACAACTTTTTGGATACACACTGGTGACAAAAATGATTACGTCAACCCTAAAATACATCAATAATTCTGACTATTATTGTAACACCATACACAGATTTTTTTTACATAGACGTCTAAAATGATCAATTAATTTAGAAAATGCTGAGAATTTATAAGTTATCCAAGAATTTATTGCAGCATTATAAAAATAAAGACATCTCTATCAGTATACCTTAGAATTATAGAGAAATTTATTTAAATTCTATATACTATAATTTTATCTCAGATGATAATAACCATGAGAATGTTTTAGTAATTATATAGTGACGTTTTTGACATATCATTGTGATCTATAATTATCTAACCTTCTGGGAATTAATGAAGTTATAATTGGCCATAGAAATAATCAAATTGTTTTAGAAGTTGAAAAGGTAATCTAGATAATATTAATCGTTCTCTAGAAATTACTGGAAGATACTAGAAATGCTTCATACATTACTGAACTGTCTTAAAAATGTTTCGACATCCTTTGAGTACCACTGAAGCTTCCACGCTGTACCCCAGGCCATTCCAGGACATGTTCCAGGTAATATTTCAGGACATTATCCACTTAATGTTCCAGGCCATGTTCCAGGGGATATTTCAGGCCATGTTCAAGAAAAATTCCAGGCCATGTTCCAGGTAATATTCCAGGCCATGTTCCAGATAATATTCCAGGCCATGTTCCAGATAATATTCCAGGCCATGTTCCAGGTATTATTCCAGGCCATGTTCCAGGTAATATTCCAGACCATGTAACAGCTCATATTCCAGTCAGTATACTTCTACATGTGTTCATGGTTATAGAATATTCAGGGACAAGTCACTGAAGATCCCAGGGCGCTTCCCGGAGCTACCCAAGATAGTTGTGGTGTTTCAGGAATTCCAGTTTCTGAAATTCTCGAAGAAGGAATTACATTTTCACGAATCTAAGTTTTGGAAATTCCCATATCAAGATTTTTTTTGTGTGTGTCAGGGTATCCAGCTTTAGGAACTCTAATTTGGGAATTCCAATGTCAGATATTCCAACTGTCAGATATTCCAACTGAATATTCCTCTTTTCAGTTCATACAACACGGTTCATTAGGTGTTCACGTCGACATGGGTCATATTACCGGAGTCCCGATTCACAATGACTCGGTATGCTAATTTAGCCCCCTTACTTGTACGAAATGAAGGTATCTAATTGAGGTAGAGTCTCGGTGTAATGTTAATGCAATTTTCCACGTTGCCTGTTTTGATTTACCTCACGGATATCCAGTCATGTAAAGCCAGCTAGTTAAGGTAGAGTTTCAGTTGAATTTTTAGATCATTTTTCGTGTTATTTATTGTGATTTAGCCCCAGATTGGATATATTTTTACGTTTTTCACTCACGTGGAATATTAAACATGTGAATCTTTGTGACTCTGGAGTATGTCGCCAGATATGACAAGATGGTCTGCATTGTATTATATATTCCAGACGTCACTTGAGATATATCTTGGTGAGAATATATCAGACACACACACACACACACACACACACACACACACACACACACACACACACACACACACACACACACACACACACACCCACACACACACACACCATGATTTATGTTCCTGCTTCTAAAAAATATAGTGTCGATATATTTAGATATTTTTTGTTTTCCTTATTCCTGGTATATACAAATATACTGAAATATACCGTATAAATTAATAGTACCGATGATGTATATTTTTTTTAGTTTTAGATCTTTGACATCCAACTAAAAAAAATATTAATAAATGTTAAAATGGTGTACATAAATTGTAATATTTTTTTGTAAGTTAGTGTGATTTTTGTTTCCTCTTAACCCAAGAGGAATTGAGGCAGAATTTCAAGTTGAATGAATAATATTTAGCGACGCTGCTGCCACCTGTCACACACACACACACACACACACACACACACACACACACACACACACACACACACACGTGATATTTGCAGACGTACAATATTTTCATTCTTCTTTTTTTCATTGTGTTTTTTTAACATATTGTTGCTATTTTGTTATATTTTGTTAATTTAAAAGGTTGTTGATATGTTAATTTTACTTTGGTTTATTTAAAAGTTTGTTCTGCAAGTCTTGTTTTCTTTCGGTGGTAAGGCTCTTCTGTTCGTTGTATTATTCTGAGGATATGTCAGGTTAAGATAGATAGATAGATAGATAGATAGATAGATAGATAGATAGATAGATAGGAAAATATAAAAGGTCGTGGAAATCAAAACTCACGCTTATGAAAACATAATTTATTTCTCTTTATTGAGAAGTTACATAAACGCACATACATGGAGTAGACAATATATATGTATATGTACACAGTGTAGGCTGCCTGGTGGTGGTGCTGGAACCTTCTCACTGAGGTCAGGAGGGAGGACGAAGGGAGGGAATGGTGGAGGAAAGATCAGTGGTGAGGTGAGGGAGATGAGGGAGAGATATCGTTGGTGGGGGAGGGAGTGGTGGAGGAGAGAGCCTTGGTGAGGAAGAGAGTGGTGGTGGTGGTGGTGGGTAGGGGATAAGGAGTGTGAGAGTGGAGAGGATCAGGAGAGAGAGAGAGAGAGAGAGAGAGACGGAGATATCCTTGGCCAGCTCAACCACAACACGTACAAAGGCTCATGAAGACTGTTGTGGCAGCAGCTTCAACTCAGTGATGTCTGCCTGCCTGCCTGCCTGCCTGCCTGCCTGCCTGCCTGCCTGCCTGCCTGCCTGCCTGCCTGCCTACACTGCATTCATCTGTCACTGAATAAGTCTTTCAGTGAGGTCTGTCTACGTTAAAAAACATCAACACATTAGAAAAGTTACAAATTTTCCCTCGTCCTTCACACGCGAACGCTGAAGACCTATCTAGTATTCAGCGAAGCACAAGAGAATTATCATATTTATCAGGGCATGAAATTAAGACTCGATTATCTCTGTTACCCCCTAATTGGTTTTCTGTTTTAGGTTGTTGTTTGTTTTCTTGTTATTGAAGGATTCATTTTTCATTCTTAGGTTCCGTTAATGTAGTTACCGATTAGATTTTCTATTGCAGGGTGAGATGAAACGCTGGTCCTAGATTACTTATACACAAATTAAGAGAGAAATATTAACTTAACATGATGATTTTTGAAACTGGATGAGAAAGACCTTAGTAATAGTTTAATCAGAATATTAACAAAACTTTCGTATTTTTTTCCGTCTTCAGTGAGAGACTCTAAGTAATTAACAAACGACTCTCCTCTGGGAATAATTAAGAGAATAAATTAATGTGATTTTTTTTCTGGGTGAATAAATGTTCATTGCCGCCAACAGATTTCCCCTTCAATGTGATTTTCCCTCCAACAAATTTTGCCACGAATAGATTTTCTCTCCAACAAATTTTCCTGCCATAAGATTTTACCTTCCAACAAATGTTACCGCCAAGAGATTTTTCCGCTCACACGTCTAAGGAATACATTTGTAAACACCTGCACGAATAAGTCTACAAATAAATGAGTCTCCATCTCCCAGGGGTGGTGACCTGTGTGAGAATATCCCCTTCATACTCTTATAAGATTTACCAGCAGCACGACGCAGCGGGCAGGAGGTCGTGTTGATCTACCAGGGGGCCACCAAGACGCCGTAATAATAATAATAATAATAATAATCGGCAACTTATTTTGAGTTTAAGAATTCAAAAGTCATCATTTGTCGAAGTTTCTCATCTTGATTAAACCATCGACTTCCGCCCTGACCTACAAACAGCAGACTCAGCCAAAGTGACGGACAACAATAGGTTAACCTGCGACTCAAACAGCTCTGTATTTATTTATTTCCCACGTGTGAAAATCGTACTCCTGGTGAGCGAAGAAATATCCATAAAACAAAACCTATCGAGATGCATCATGTAAAGACAACAGCCCGGATGCTCTTTGCCGTGATCAGGTCGGGGAATATCTGAAGTCTTGAGATTCAGGGAGATTTGTAAACATTTCTGCGTTGATGTTGTCTGAAGTGATATTCCTTCAGGTAGTTACATGAAAAAAATAAGACAATATTACACTTGATATAAGATTTGTATCGGTAACTGCAAAGCTCGTGTACAGCGGAGATCAGAATGACCTTACGCTGCCCCTGTTATGTCCTGAAATACTATGGTATGTACACTTTAATAAGCTACAACATGGCCTGTGGACATATTATAACCCAGCAAGCTTACGGTCTACCCCAAGAAACAAACATATAAACCCATGTATTTTTTATGGTACAGTCATACAGATACAACAACAACACCCTCTTAACCCCCTCACCTTCCCCTATTAATGTATAAACAATCCTCTTCCTTCCTCTCCCCCTCCCCTGTCCCTCCTCGTCCCTCCCTCTTCTGGATGTTGTATGTACAAACATTAATCCATACATGATATACTGTATACAACAAGAGCTGGTGGTGAGTATTGAGTGTGACTGCCACAGAGAACAACAGATATGTATACACACAACCATACTCGTGAACATCCACACACACACACACACACACACACACACACACACACACACACACACACACACACACACAGTATACATTCACTTGAATAACACACACGCATGTTACTTTACACGCACCCACATGTAAGTATGAACACAAATGTGAGTATAATGTATGTACACAAACTTTCACACACTTAAACACATATATGAGTACACACACACACACACACACACACACACACACACACACACACACACACGAGTTTATAGACCCAGATATCAAAAGCTTAAATCAACAGGAGTCAGCTGGTGTGATCATCTGGTAGAGGGAGACCTACTGCTGCTCCTCCTCCTGCCACTCACGACCATCTGCCGACCATCCTGCAGAGACCAGCTGTTCTTAACACAGGTGGAGGCCAAGGTCCCTAGCCACCTGTGTACCCATTGGCATATGCCCCAACAGGTGGTTATTATGACAGCAACCCACTCTTGACAGGTGGTGGTCAAAATAACTGCCCAATTAGCCAACCAGCTGTGGATTCCTGTGATGAACCAGATGGTTAAGTCCTGGCAGATGGTTTTAGTCCAGAAAGTGGTTATCCCCAAACAGACGGTGGCAATGAACCAGGAGGTGAGGGTCTGGCAGGTGGTAGTGGCGCAGGTGGCGAGGCAGGTGGCAACGGCTAGCAGGAGATACAGATGGGTGGTGCAGCTGGTGAGACAGGTGGTGGAGGAAGCGTAGGGAGGCGATTGGCTGCTGGTGTCTGGCAGAGCGTCATGTTGCATCGCTGCCGAGTTTTCGCCTGATGAAGAGGAGAACAGAGCTGAGATAACGTCAGCTAGGATAACATTAACGTCAGCTAGGATAACATTAACGTCTGCTAGGATAACACGAAAGACAACACAGCCTAGATAGCAAAGATAACAAAAACATTAAAATAAACAAGATTGCCCAAATCGGAAACGCTATAACCACGAAAATAATGGATAGCAAAGGAAAGTTAAAGAAGGAGGAATAGGGGGAGAGGAGGGAAGAGTGGTGGAAGGAGGAGGTAGGGCAAGAGGGGGAGGGAAGAGAGGGATAATGAGGAGGGTTAAGAAGGTAGAGAAGTAGAAGAAGGAAGGGTAGGAAGGGATGAAAGGTAAAAGGAGGAGGCGGTAGAGAAAATAATAAGTAGAGCAGGAGGAAGAGGCAAAGTAGATAAGAGGCGGAGGATAAAGAGGAGGAAAAGGAGGAGAAGGAAAGGGAAAGACGGGGAAAGAGAAAGAGACATTCATTATCAGTCACAACATGAGTTTTCTCACTGGTAATTCTGAAACCACTCACCAGCTGCCACCTTCATCCCGCTGCCTAAATGGGTCAGTCAGACGTGCTCTCCCACACCTCCCACTTACTGCTGGGATAAACATCTGACGAGTGAAATTTTGAGAATACATCTTGTTGTCGTAGTTTTAGCTGAGGTAAAAAATGATGCTTAAGTTAATGTGATAAACTACCGTATGAACTTTTTGAGAAATTATCTTGATATCGAAGTTTAAGTTATCTTTTAAAATATTTTCTCGTATGATCTTTTCAGAATCCAGGTCTGGAATTTTACGAGTCTGTCCAAACACCCAACATAACTTGACCTAGCCCAGCATGAGCCTGCGAGGGTCTGCCGAACAAATAAGCCTGAGCGGTGATTGATGACAACCCCCTCTGGTGCTCGGCGGCATAATAATAATAACGCCAGGAAACACAGTCATTATTCTGAAAGACTTGTAAGTTAGGGATTTTTTTTCCACCAGAAGTGTTGTGAGAATATATCGTGTTGACTCTCTTGCATTGCGACACCCAGATTGATTTTCAATGGTTCGTATGTTAAGAGTTTTTTCTTAAACTTAAACTACGACAACAAACTGAGTACTCATATCTACGTAGTTGAAATTCCCCTCAAACTGACCATATGAGAACGCATAGAACTGGCTCATGTAAACGAAAACATCGAAAACATTTCTTAAACGTTCTTACGATAATTTTCCTGTATCTAGTGATATAAAAAAATCTTATTACTAGGACACCGAATTGGATTCTGAAAGTCACGTAAGTTGATTTTCCCCTAACAAAATCACTTAAACTACATCAGAAGGAGTCAGAAACACGCTAAGACTCTACCGGAACTATAAATCATCTCGTTTCGACAGTTGCGGCGGATAAATCACAATGAAACTCTACTGTAACTAAAATTTTTCTTCCATTTCCATTTACTACGTGAAAAAAGACACACACACACACACACACACATATATATATATATATATATATATATATATATATATATATATATATATATATATATATATATATATATATATATATATATATATATATATATATATATATATATATATATATATACACACACAGCATTTTTTAAAGAATCTGTGAGAGTTTAGACTTTAATAATAGTAAATATTTTGATACAGGAGGTGAGGAAATGTGGTTTTAAATCCCATGAAGAAGAGGAGGAGGAGCAGAGAGAGGAGGAGGAGGAGGGGAAGGAAGAGGGGAAGGAGGAGGAAAGAAAATGGGAGTTTGATGACGAGGTTGTTTATCGCGTTCATTTCTCCTTCACCATCTCCTCCTCCTCCTCCTCCTCCTCTTCCTCCTCCTCCTCCTTCTTCTGTCTCTTCCTCTCTATCCCTACCTGTTATTCCTCTTATCTTTCCCTCCTCCTCCTCCTCCTCCTCCTCCCCCTTCTTCTCCTGCTTCAATCCTTCCATCATTCCTACTTCCACTCTTCCTCCACCCTACTCCGTCTTACACTTATTTCATTCTCTTCCTCCTCCTTCTCTTCCATCCCTCATTTCTCCTCCTGTTCTTCTTCCCTCCTACTCCATCCCACTTCTGTTTCCTACTTCTTACTCCTCTCCTTTATCCCTCTTGCTCCTCTTCTCCTCTCTCATATAACAAGAAGTTGAAACCATGAATGACGGATTAATTATGTTTTTATCTGCCGTTCAATCTACATTATTTATCTCTTTGTTCATCTATGTCTATTTATTTATCACTACTTAGCTACTTACCTCTCTCTCTCTCTCTCTCTCTCTCTCTCTCTCCACACACACGTTCTCAATACACCTTCCCCCTCTCACCATCCGCTTATCTCCAATAGACAGGCTGCTATGCTAATGATCTGTGCTACCATCCTCCTCTCCTCTCCTCTCCTCTCCTTTACTTCCTCCTTCTTCTCTCTCTGCTCTCCTCTCTTCTCCTTCTTCCTCCTTTACATCCTCCTCCTCCTTCCCGCCTTCCCCCCCTCCCTCTCTCTCCCTCCCTCTCCCTCTCCCTCCCTCTCCCTCTCCCTCCTGAGGTATGTACTGGGCAGGTGTCTCGCTGTGCTGATTGGTCAAGCACTCGTGGGATTCCTGTTATGTGGACCCGGGAGAGAGAAGTGAGGAGAGGCGGTGAGGGGAAAGTGTGAGAGGCAGATGGTGAGGAGAGACGGTGATAGGGAAATGGTGAGGAGAGGGGAAGATAGTGAGGAAAGGGGGGTGAAAGGAGGAGATGGTGAGAAGTGGTGAGGCAAGTAGGAAGGGAGAAAGGAGAACACACACACACACACACACACACACACACACACACACACACACACACACACACACACACACACACACACACACACTATTGCAACAAAAAACTCATCTTCATTAAACAATCTTTTTTGTTGTGCTTTTATTTAATAAGTAAGATAAATGAGGCATAAACAAAAGAGTATAAAAAGTATTACACTAGATCAAAAGAAAGTTTATACCCGCGAAGGCATAAACACACGCTGTGAAAAGATAAATAAGCACATCACAAATCTTCATAGAAATAAATCCTGCTTTTATAAATACAAGATGAAGGTTTAAAAAATATCATAGTTATATAAAAGACAACAAAAGAATATATATATTACTTTTATAACCTAACGAATTACTTAATGAACTTAGGAATATACTGTTTATAATAAAATATTATAGATATATTACACAGTTATTATACAATTTATACTTTTATATATTGACGAATAAAAATCTGTCGGAGCAAAAAACAAAACAATGATATATTAACACAGACATTTAATTAAAAATATCTAAAATAAATATAATTAATTACGTTCACAATTCAGCTGTGAAAAATTTTAAAAATGTCGGATTACATAATGTTGATAAATACTGGTATACGTATGATAATTAATCACATCTAGTACTGTTGTTGCGAGAGTTTCATCAGACTTTGCAGGAGATTGTTGTTGTTCATTAATTCTTACATTTTCCTGAGTACATTTAGTGAAAGATAATTAGTGGCGGTTAAGGAAATGAAAGTTGTTTTTTGTTAATTATTGTTAATGTGTTGTTACTGTTGTTGTTAATAGTGTTGTTGTTGTTGTGGTTATTATTATTATTATTATTATTATTAATATTACTATTAAGCATTCACACACACACACACACACACACACACACACACACACAGCGACACAAGAACACTTACCCTACCTACTATTGCACACGCTAGCTATATCAGAGAGAGAGAGAGAGAGAGGAATGGAAAGGGGAAGCTAATAAGGTAAATAAAGGGGAAGACACAAAGAGGAGAGAGAGAGAGAGAGGACGACCATGACACTCACCAGCTATCACATGCACGGTGAGGGCGTCGCTGGTGTAGTTACTGTACCAGCAGGAGTACACGCCGGAGTCTGAGGGCGAGGCGTCAGCGACATACAGGCGGCTCCTGATGTATCCGGAGCTGGGATCTCCCTTCACGCTGTGGTGGAGACAGAGGGAGAGTTAATGTGAGAGATGGGTGGAGAGATAGAGGGAGAGAGAATGTGAGGCACTATGAGAGATGGGAGGAAAGAGAAGGTGAGATACTGTGAGAGATAAAGGGAGAGAGAAGATGAGAGAAAGAGGGTGGGTGGGAAGGAGAGGCATCGTAACAGGTAGGAGGAGAAGGATGATGGTAAAGAGGGAAAGAGGGAAAGAAAGGGAGGGAGGGAGAGGGAGGGAGAGAACTCGTGAAAAACGGAGAGAAATGGATGAGAGAGACGTAAAGAGAGATGGGAGATGGGAAGGAGAGGAGAGATAAAGTGAGGTGATAGGAGGAGATGTGAAGTGAGGGACAAGAAAAGGAAATGGAGAGACAGACAGACAGGTTAACAGACAGACAGACAGGTTAACAGACAGAGAGACAGGTTAACAGACAGAGAGACAGGTTAACAGACAGACAGTCAGGTTAACAGACAGAGAGACAGGTTAACAGACAGACAGACAGGTAAATAGGCAGAAACAGAGAGAGAAAAAAAGAGAGAGAGAGAGAGAAAACAAAACAAGAAAAGACATACATATTTGAGGGGAAAAATCCATAAATAATGCATAGAAACGAGGTAAAAGTAAAGACCAAAGGAGGGTGAGAGAGAAAGAGAGAGATGAAACGATATACACGCTTAAAACACCATCATCTCGACGAACAAAACAAAACCGAGGGACACACAAAACGGTGTATAGAAATGAAGCCAAAATACAGAGAGAAAGAGAGAGAGAGAGAGAGAGAGAGAGAGAGAGAGTTCACGAAAAATAAATCACAAATTAACAATAACTGACACGCTTCAAGATGCACAAATAATACAGTGATACTAGCCTGGAATAAACAGATACCAGCACTAGCGCTCCTCAATATTTTGCAGAGAAGCGTCGGGCATTGAGCATTTTTGTCGGAGCAGCTGGTGGGTGGCCGCTCGCAGCTGCTCTTCTCAAAAAGGACTATTTTTTTTCTTTTTAGCTACAACAACGTTAGCCAAAAATTACTTTCATGCACATGCAACACCTGTGTCGATTTGTGTGTGTATGTGTGTATTGTGCGGGGGATAATGGATATTGCGATATATACTGTGTAGTTCAGTTGATAGAGCATTCACCTCGCAGACAAATGACCTTTAGTTCGATATCCACCCGTGTGAAAGATTGAATCCCCCCCCCTCCCCCTCCCTTGTACAGTAACCCTTGTACACTCAGCAATACATGATTACACTATCTGGTGTTTTTGCCGATGATGAAACGACACTTCAGTGGATTAGCCTTCTGTCAAGGTGGTGAGGGAACACACTAGCATTCTGAATGACTTGTGTGAAGAAAAAAAAACATATTCAATTCATATAATTATACACAGAAGCTGTACCAGAAGCGTCATTTCTTTCTAATCAAATTTTCACATCTATTTTTGGGGTGGACTAAAGTAGTGATTAGAATTTTTTTTTTCAGTGATAACACAACAACAATGATCTTGGAAACTTTATCTGCTACACAATCACATGATGCAGCCCGGCGTGAAAATTTTTGTTGAAAGCTTGCACACTATAGGAGTGGTCTGTACACAACTATCAAACATCTTGTGGGGAAAAATGTCGAAACACAGCCAATAGTTATGGTCAAATTGGAGCAGAGAATGGTCACCCTTATCTACTAGAGCACCCGAAAGGATCCAAAATGTGAGGCAGTATTTCCACGTCTCCTTTTCAAAATCCACCTTCAGATTATCCCAATTAGTTTGGACATCGCACACCTGTAAGAAGAATTATACCTCAAGAGCTGGTCAGGTTTTCGTACAAGATACAACTTTAACAGGACAAAACCAGCAAGAACTAGAGAGAACGGCAAGAGCTTTGTATCAGTATTTGAAAACAAGTTGAAATATGTGTCGGATTTTTTGTCAAGATATTTTTCTGTGACGAGGTTCATATTGACTGTACTGGACACATCAACAAGCACAAGGCCCTGGTCATCAACCCCTGGGACAAGCCGGTCTGTCATGAATGGTTAAAAGAGAGATATCAAGTTTATTGTGTGACCAGATTCAGTGATGTCCTTAACTTTTTTAAACAATGAAGCTGGACCAACCGTGAACACTGCAGCACACTCGGTGAGAAATATACTGTGTTCCTGGACTGTGAAGGGCACCTGGTGTAATGGTCTACAGCACAGTCATCCAGGAAGGCGTCAGGGACACCTCTATACAGCAGACGCTACGAAGGAACACCTGAAGCAATACCTGGCTCACCTGGAGACATACACACTACCCAGAACACCTTACTGCACTCATGAATCATCACCTCCCGGCCCTGTTCTATCGGGTCGCCTTGAACTACATGTATATATAAGCAGTCCTGACACTGTTGGAGGTGAAGAACAACGTCAGCTGACAGGATCGCAAACGCTAAAGCTGATATGATCGACAAACTGATTCAGAATTTATTATCCATATTGCTGCCATCAGCCACTGTCGACTTCCATGTATCTCGTTGCAACAAACTAATAATTTTCTTCATGAACTAAATCGGTTTCTACTGTAAATAATTAATATATACAGGATTTACTTTCATTTCATTAAATATTATCTAAATTATACAGAGAGAATTAACTCATATGAAATATTAAACAAGGTATCAGTGAGTGGTAGTAGGTAGTAGGCAGCTACCAAACAGGGAGGCACTGCCGCCTGGAAGATATTGGAAGCATAATGTGTTGCTTAATGGTAGACCCTGCTTATGGCATCACAAATATTGTGACCAAGTCCCAGGTTGCTGATCTGACTTTCTGCCTCATTTACACACAATTGCAGGGTCTCAATTGTTTCTCTTACCATTGACAACAACTTACATACAGGTACAGTATATTGTTTTTTACTCTTGATCTTTTTTTGTGATTCTTTATGGTTCTTTATTATTATTATTATTATTATTATTATTATTATTATTATTATTATTATTATTATTATTATTATTATTATTATTATTATTATTATTACATTTTCGCCCCCAGGCCTCGTTGTGGGTCAGTGACCTGTGCCCTGGTGGGCTAATCCCCGCAAAAAAAAATTAATTTAGCCGGTTGATTCTCCCTCACCTTTCATCCTTTAGAGCACTCACCTGATGCCGCCCCTGGAGGTGTTGTAGGTGAGGACGGTGGCTCCTCTGCGCCAGGTGACGGGGCCATGGGGGAAGGGCACTTTCTCTATGAGACACATCAGCTCGATCATACTGCCGCTGTTGTAGTGCTTCTCCAGTACCTCCGTCCCCCTCTCGTCCACCAAGCGGGCCCGGGGAGCTGTTGGCCACGTGAAGGACGACTGATTAGATGATGCTTCGACTCCCTCTCTCTTTTTTCCCTCTGTTTACATTCGTATCTGCTTACTTCCATCTTTTTCTTTCTCTCTGTCTCGCTACATTTGTTTCCTTTTTTTTTGTCTTCATTTCTTGTCCTCGACTCTCTGTGTAACTGCTCATTCCTATAATTTTCCCAAACTTTTTTTATGTCTATCTGTGTGTTTCTCTCTTTCTCTCGTTCTGTCTCTCTCTTTCTATCGTTCTGTCTCTGCCAATCTTCTGTTATCTTTTTTCCTTTCCTCCCTCTGCCTATATCTCCCTACAATGTTTTTTTTCCTGTCTGTCTGTCTGTCTGTCTGTCTGTCTCATATAACACCACCCACAAATATTCCTTCCTATATACAGAGTTCAGAAGGGTACACGGGGAGAGGGTAGGAGCACCCGACAGTCACGACACACAGGTTTAAGTCGTCGTCTCTACACGCTATCACCCGACAGAGTTTATCATGAACTGTATAGCTGAGGAAAATATTAGCCTGTTCATGATAGGAGCTGCTTGTATGACCTATACTTGAAGAGCTACAGTAGAGAGACGTGCATGTTTAGGTTTGCTTTTTTTTATGTTTTGAAGATGCTTGTATGCCTCCCACAAACATGAAGTCATCATCCCAAGCACAATTCGTATCCCGTGTATCATACATTACGTCATTATCCCACCTACCAATGACGTTGAGGGTGATGAAGTGTACCATAGGAGGCTCAGCGGTTAGGAGGCAGCGGTATTGTCCTTGGTCATCCAGCTGGGCGTCACGTATCACTAGCTGCCACTGCTGCCATCTGTCGCCGACCGTCTGAACCAGCGAGTACCTGTAACACATGATGCAAAATATGATGAACTGGATTACTGAGTTATTTAGATAAGTAAGGTTTGATTACGTTAGTTTGGGTTAGGTTAAGATAGATTTGGTTGGGATAATATTTTAATTGGTTAGGTTATATTAAAGAGTGTTAGAGAAAGAGTGGAAGAAAATGGAAGATAAAGGGAAAAAGAGAATGATGAGAGAGAAAGAAAATGAATGTGGGAGGGAGCAAGAAAGTAATTGTGGAGCGGGAAGACGGAAGTAAATAGAAACATTATCTGCTTATTGCTCTCTCTCTCTCTCTCTCTCTCTCTCTCTCTCTCTCTCTCTCTCTCTCTCTCTCTCTCTCTCTCTCTCTCTCTCTCTCTCTCTCTCTCTCTCTCTCTCTCTCTCTCTCTCTTCTCTCTCCTTCTCTCTACCTCTCTCTCCTCTCTCTCTCTCTCTCTCTCTCTCTCTCTCTCTCTCTCTCTCTCATATTCCCCTTTCCACCCACTTCCTCTCTCCTTCTCTCCAGCAGTATTACCTTCTTTTATCCACATTATTTATTTTCCTTCTCTCCTTCTCTATCTCATTTCCTTTCTTCCTTCGTTCTTCCCTTTATTGGTATCGTCTTACTCTTTCCTTAGATGTTTAATAGTTTTCTTTTATCCACTTCCATTTAGTTCAGACTTCTTGTTTACAACTTTCTTATTTTTACTTTCCTTAGTCATCGTATTCTCTCTCTCTCTCTCTCTCTCTCTCTCTCTCTCTCTCTCTCTCTCCTTTCACACACACACACACTACCACATAACTACATGCTGCCAAATATCTACCACATATCATACTAAACACCCCCACATAGTAACCAGAAAGTCACCACATACTAGCTGCTATACCTCCTACATATCTACTATACTACCACAAGCTACCGAAGACTATACTGTATATACCTTGGACTACCACACAATAGCCAATGGCGGACTTAATACTTTGGTTTAGTTATGCTCGGGTCGCATGCTGAGTGTTGAGCAATTTTTGACAGGGGAGAGACGATTAGAGTCACCCAATCCTAACTTAACCTGACTTAACCCAACTTAACCTTATGGCCCTTGTGGGATCTTTTGGTTAAGTTAGGTTTGGTTTGGTTAGGAAAAGTTTGTTGTCGTCTTGTCTCTCTCTCTCTCTCTCTCTCTCTCTCTCTCTCTCTCTCTGATCCTCTTTGTCATCCTCCAACTCCTTTTCCTTTTCTCTTCCTCCTACTCCTCATTCTCCTCCATCTTCTCTTCCTACGTCTCCTCCTCCTTCATCTGTTTCCCCTCTAACTTAACTAGTCTCGGCATTACAGGTAATATACACCTACAGGTGGACGACAAAGTGAAGGTTAATATCTCTCTCTCTCTCTCTCTCTCTCTCTCTCTCTCTCTCTCTCTCTCTCTCTCTCTCTCTCTCTCTCTCTCTCTCTCTCTCTCTCTCTCTCTCTCTCTCTCTATCTATCTATCTTAATCACACCACCACACCAACTCATCCCTCCCACCACAATACTATATAACCTCACCACACACCACTACACAACCACCCTCACCACCCTACCTCACACCTCACCACCACCACCACACCTCACCACCACACATCCTCTCCCCACTCCACCACTCCCCCACTCCCTCACTCCCTCACCTCTACCTCGTTCCCTGTGGCAGCTGTTGGGATACATTACACCTGATAGTAATGATGTTGTTAGACTTAATACCTGGCGTGTAGCGTGAGGCAGGTAACACGGCCAGTCATCACGAGGACCTCTGGATATGTCCCCATTCTCTCTGTACTGGCAAGACCGTGTAGTGTAGTGTAGTGTGGTGTGGTGTGGTGTGGTGTAGTGTGGTGTGGTGTAGTAAACTTTAGTGTGTTGTAGTGTGCTGTAGTGTGTTGTAGTGTGCTGGAATGTGTTGTAGTTTGCTGTAGTTTGTTCTAGTTTGCTACATCCTCTCTCTCTCTCTCTCTCTCTCTCTCTCTCTCTCTCTCTCTCTCTCTCTGTTTTTACATGTCTGTTATATTGTATTTTCAGAGCCGTGTTGCGTTCTCTTTTTACGATGACATTTTTAATTCTTTGTGTTGTATTTTCATATTCTATGTTTAAATCTGTATCGTATCTTGTGGAGCTAAGTTGTATTTTTAGTCTTTGTGTTGCATTTACTTGTTTTTCTATATTGTATTAATTTCGAACTCATTTTCTTGTAACCTATTGTATTCTTCTATTGTATTTTGTTGTATTTTCGAGTCTTTGTGTTTCATTTATTTGTATTTTACTTTTGGTATTTTGTGTGTATTATTTTGTCTTGTGGTTGTAATTGTATATTTATTTTCTTTATTATGATTTACTGACATTTCTACTTTGTATTTTTAATCATACACCTTCCATTCTCTTTGTATTTCTACACTGTATTTTCAAACTAACGTCATTACCCCCCCCCCCCTCTATTCCCCCACAGGCTGAGTGAATCTATAGCAATCAGTGTAAGTGTTTATGTGTATGTCTGTATGTATATGTATTTTTGTGTACGTGTGTATGTATAATCATCTTTCATTCACTAATTATATCAAAGGAGTTTTACACGTCTTGGTATACAGTAAAATTAATGGCGTTAAGGACGGGAGATATTATGGTCCTCTGCAGCATAAATCAGTAGCGTCGTTAGAATTAATAAACTCGCTACGCAAGATCACATCGATTGAGAAGGGGTTGGATTGACAAGGGTTGGAATGACAGGGGTTGGGTTGGCAGAGGTTGGGTTGATAGGGGTTGGGTTGATAGGGGTTGGGTTGGCAGAGGTTGGGTTGACAGAGGTTGGGTTGATAGGGGTTGGGTTGATAGGGGTTGGGTTGGCAGAGGTTGGGTTGATGGGGGTTGGGTTGGCAGAGGTTGGGTTGACAGGGGTTGGGTTGACAGGGGTTGGGTTGATAGGGGTTGGATTGACAGGGGTTGGGTTGACAGAGGTTGGGTTGACAGAGGTTGGGTTGCGGTAACACTGTCTCAGCTCAGTCAAGCAGAAGTGTAACTCTGCTTCTCGTTCAAACACCGACATCGTTTTTGTATTTAATTTTTCATTTATATGTTAGTGCTATTATTATCCTCGTGGGGGACACCTGGAATACATTGATCATCTCTGGAAATACTACCTGGAGTTAGAAGTGAGATCAATGAGTGACAAGTAGTGAATTACGAATTTATTATGAGCCAGAAATATATTTCCTTTACGCCGCCCTGAAAGATTATAACTTTGAGGCTATTGTACCCAGTGCAGATGTACAATGTATACAATATATACATACATTACCTAGGTAAATCATGTATATAGACTGTGCAGGTATACAGTTAATGCACACAGACAATGGAGACACTCAAACAATGTTCACAAACGTCGTAGGTAGATAATTATAGGAAAACAGTAAGTGGATTCGACCGATTTTAACCCCGAAACAATTATTAACTTATATTGGGTCAATGATCAGTCTCATAATAAATTCTATTCATTAATATCTAAGAAATCCTTAAATGTTATAAAAACATTTTGATACAGTATTGTACGGTTTTTTTTTTTTACGTAAAGTGAGAGAAATTACCTAAATGTGTCTTAAAACGAGGAAAATGTATAGGTTAACAAGCATAAACATATACGGACTGACACTGAACAATCAGGGTTATGGAGCGGGAACAATGACCAATCAGAATCTAGATAGGTGTAGCACTGGCCAATCAAGAGATACTATTGGTGACGTCATCTTACCAGGAACAGCTGAGAGCCCAGTGCACACCCGTCTCCTCGAACGTAAATAGTGTTCCTGTTTTGTATTTTCAGCCAATACACCTAAGTGACCTTATCAACTGCTACAATACCAACTTTGAGTTATCGTTAGCGTGTGTGTGATATTGTTTTATGTATGGAAAATGAACAATGAAGAAAAAAATGATTTGAAAAGTGAATTAAGGAAGACTTCAAACGCCATAGAAAACGTAATGGTCACTTCTGGACAACAATCGACGTGGGTGAGTGTTAATATCCTTATTTATAGCTTCAGGCACTGATTAAAGAATTTGACCTTCCAATTTTTATGATAAATCATGATAGACTTGTATGGAAAAATTAGTGTGTTGATCTCGTCACTCACAGTAAAGTGCAAGGAATTGAACGACAGGTTTTAGGATTAGTATTTCGCGATATAAATTTCCTCGGTAGGCTTGTAGTTACTATCCTATATCAATATTGTGATGGAGTATAGCTAATCAACAGTAATATATCAACGGGAAACATTTTACTATATTCGCCCATCAGACCAAAGAAAAAAATAATGTTTGTTTTTCGCGACAAAACTCTCGCCAAAATATTTGTCCATGATGCCCTGTACACTGTGGAGCGGCAGTTTGTTGTCAGTATAAATTATTGTGTCAACCACTCAGCACATCCGGCTTTACGGCTCGCTGTGTGTACCTTGTCATTTAATAACAATAAAATGAAACACCAAAAGATTTACCACGCTAACCTAAGCTAACATAACGTAAAGTAACCTAACCATTAACCAAACTACCCAAACCTAACCCCTGGAGGCAGCTTTAGGGTGGTTAATCAGTTCAAGTGAATTAAACTGGGGTGCCTCGTCTTCAAGTGATCCATGATAACGATAGTAATAAAGTTAATAAAGGTAATGACTAATATAATAATGACTGATGTAATAATAATAATAATAATAATAATAATAATAATAATAACGATAAATAATAATAATGCACACACGGGGAACTGTAAGTGTAACATTATTAACGTTGATTTTTATTTGTATTATATAATTATTTTATGTGGCTCACCAGATATAAACCACAATTAGTTACCAGGCATTGACAAAAGCGTCGAGGGAATATTCACCGCAAGTGTACCTACACGAATCACCCGCCTCGTCTGTTTACAATCGGTTTAGAGACTCCAGGACTGAATCATTTCTGGCGGCGTACAACGAAACAAAATAAGCTAAACTAGT